TTTAGACAGGTTCTTCTCTGTTGTTTAAAAGCTGTAAAACAATCCAGCATTAAGAAAGATGCATATTATGTATACTAATTTCAATTGAGAGAGAAAGGCAATCTGAAACATATTTAGAACATGAATAATCTATTATGTATAATATCTGTGCAAACATATTTTTTGGCAAAACTCTGTAATTCCTAGCCCTCACATGTAGAAAATAAACAGCAGTCCCTCTTGGACAAGCTGTGATTGGGAATGCAAGGAATTAAGAAGTGAACAAGACATGTTTTCAGCATATTCATCAAGAGAACATCTGAAAGTGCCTACTTTGTCAACAAAGATAAAAATCTAGGATTTAATTCTAGCTTCCCAAACTACACTCTCATGCAGGTTCCTAGATTCAGTGGATGAAGGTGGGACTAGATGAACATAGGGAAGCTGCTGAAAATTTTTCCTCACAGGAAAGAGACTGTTTAGATTTACATTATTTCTCCAACTTTCTCTACCCTTTTGAATCTCTCATCTATTTTCATAGAAATAAGATTAATAAAAACTTACTGGAATTCAGAAATGATTAAATATTTATTAAAAATTTAAATGTGATATTTAAAGGTATTTAGAGTCCTACAGTCACCTTAAAAGCAATATATTTTTATGCAAGAGGAAACCTTTTTTCCAGCACTTTCTTTGAGTTTGACATCTCAGTTAAGTGCTAAATAAAATAGAAAATACCTCTTAGGAAAGAATGGCCTAGTTTCAGCATTTCTTCTATATTCATTTAGAAGGCTCATTTTAACATTGCCCACAAGATAAAGTCTAAATTCCTCAGCTCCAAAAGTTGACCTCAATCCTTTAGGCATCTTCTGCCTCACTTCTAGAATGAAACTACACCCATTGTCTCAGAAGTCAGTGTACCTATAAATCACACTCGTGTTTCTCCAAGTCTTTGTCCCTGCTATTTTGCATATTCTTCAAATATCATCCCTCTTGGATGATTTTCCCAGATCTGGAGTCATAACCACTTCTTTATTTTCTCCATTCTTTCTTTTTTTTTTTCATTTATTGCCCTTAGTTAATTCTGTCAACTATTTCAGCTAGTTATCTGCACCCTTTTTATCACCATTAACTGTTGCATTGGGCAACACCACACTGATAAAGAAATGGGAGTGGTGGAGCAGGCTACATAATGCAGGATGCTGCTGAAGAGCAAGTTCCTGGCCTTTTTATTGGTAGAAGCATCAGTTATAAGGGAAAGAAGGAGAAAAAAGAAAAGAGGAAGAATCTCGTAAGAAGGAAAAGGGGAAGAATGTAACTAGAAAATCAGGGATTGCGAGTCTGCCCTCCAGGTACTTCTTATCTGCTTGATGACTCGGTATTGTAATTGAGATCAAGCCCTAGTTCCCCAGCCATGGTTTCAATCTTAACAACAAGGTTTTCCACTGATCAGCTTCTGGAGTCCCTTGTTATACATCGTCCCCGCGCACCCCCCCCACACTCACACACCGCGCGTGGTCCAGTCTTACCATGTGATGTATAAATTGGGAGTACCTTTTATGCATCAGTCATCAGCCCAGCCCACCCTACCCACCCCACCCCAGCGTTTCCAGTCATACCTTGTGATGCATGGCCTTCCCAGTGTGATCCAGCTTTGTGCACCTGATTGATTTGAAAGACACCTTGCCAGGTGGGGCTCCTTGTACCTAATTGACTAGGGCTGTTCTGACCTTGCTTAGGATTTAGAACTGTAGGTAAAAAAATGGTGGCTGAACAGGCCACTTAGGATTAGCAGACCCACAATTAACAGTTCATTCTTTTGGGGGACAAATAAAATATTTTTTCAATCTTATTTTATATCACACAGTACCATAAATATGCCAGAACCCAACAAATACCTATAAGATGAATGAAAAACAAAGGCAACATTAAAAATGCTCACAACTAAAACATTTTTCTTACAAGTCACCTCTTTACCTCATGGCCATTTGGATTGCTGCCTTCGTGACTGTATTCTTCTATGACAGTCTGATAAAGGACAGTACCTTGCTAAAATCCCTTTGATAATCCTTATTGGCCTTAGAAAGGCAATTTGGTGAGATAAAATCCAAGCTTTATTCAATATCCCTCAAGATCTGACTCCAAAGCAGCAAATCACTCCACTCCACACTGCTACAAGCACACCAAATTTCTTTGTATTTCACAAATGATCTTTCTATATGGAAGATTTTGTTCTTCCCTTGTTGACTGACTCACTTCTCATATAACAGATTCAAGGTAAAATGTTGCTTCTTTGTGGAAATCAGCCCATTTCCTACACTATTTTCAGTCCCAGACTGGATTAAGTCTGTCTCCTTTGTGATTCAATAGATAAGATCTGGACATGGCTCAATTCCACTCTTTACTAGTAGTGACTTCCGATCAATAATTCCAAAACTTTAGCACGTATCAGAATCACCTGGAGAGCCTGTTAAATCATACTGTCTGTGCCCTACTCCAGAGTTGTGATTCAGTACCTCTGGGATGGGTCCTGAGAAACTGCTTTTCTAACAAGTTACCAGGTGACACTCATGATGTTCTGGGTAATCACTTTGGGAACCTCTGCTTTAAAAAATTTAGTGAGAGGGGCCTCCCTGGTGGTGCAAGGTGTTAAGCACCACACTATGAAGCAATCCGCAGCCTCTGCAGCATGAGCTCAATCCCTGGCCAGGAAGAAACCCACATGGTGCAGCAGACTTCTCCTGTCTCGCCCGCTGCTCCCCTCAGCAGTGTACTTCAGTCGCTCTGCCTGTTCTGTTCCCCACTCTGTCTCTGGTGAATCCTCTCACCTCCTGCATCTCTGGCCTGTACCCCAGCTCTTGTATGCATAAATAAATAAATCTTTTAAAAATAAATAAATAATTTAGTGAACCTCTCTAAGCCTTAGCTTTAATCTATAAAGTGAAGCAAGAAGAGGGGAGGGGTGTTAAGAATTAGTTGAGGGCCTCCCTGGTGGCGCAGGTGTTAAGACACAACCTATGAAGCAATCCGCAGCCACTGCAGCTTGACTTCCATTCCCGGCCAGCCAAAGAGACACCCACATGGCGGGACAGATCTCTCCTGTCTCACCTGCTGCTCCCCTCAGCAGTGTATTCAGTCAGTCTGCCAGTTCTGTTCCCCACTCTGTCTCTGGTGAATCCTCTCACCCCCCGCATCTATGGCTTGTACCCCAATTCTTGTATAAAAATAAATAAATCTTAAAAAAAATTAGTTGAGATAAAATATATGAAGTACATGATATGAATTAATAAACAATGCAATTTAATATAGTTTTTTATATCATCATTGCTTTCATCACTGTATAATATTGCAAAATGAACAGACAACTTGCCAAGGTAGAACCCCATAGAGAACAGAGACAAGGTGGAATCAAAGGTAGCATATGAAGTGCTTTAGTAAGTACTAAATAAACATTTAATGGAATCGTTTCAAAGTAAAAGCATTCAGTAAATGCTTCATAAAATGAATTCAGGTGTTTCTATGTAGGTAACCTCTATATAGAATATTCCAAAATTCATTAGTTCAGCTCCCTGTCGCCTTGGTTTTCTTGGGACTGTTTTTACTGATTGATTCCTAAATCACTTGTGGGTATCGTGAATCAGTTCCCACAGCTTTTGTTAGTAAGAAGAGTTAAACAACATAGAGTGTCTTTCTATAAAGAAACTAGAAATAAATAACCACATGGACTTTTCAGTTTCAAACTGAAAGAAAGTGGTTGTAGCAGTGTATTCCCCTGCCTTCTGTGCCTGAGCATATGCCTTCACTTAACACTGGATATGGGCTAGAAATCAACATGTGATGAATTTAATTTGCAGTCCTTTGCAAATTCTTGAAGGCTCCTCTTTAGACTAGCCTTTCCTGTTTTTACTGGCAATCTATACCTTCATCCTGCTCTTTGCCCTCCGAGCCTCATATTTTCTATTCACTCATTAGTTCAGCAAATATTTTCCCACCATCTGCTATGTGGCAAGTATTATTCTCATGGTGGTGATGACACTGAGGCAGTCCTTGCTCCACAGAATCAAAAGCCTGGCATTTACCAACTTGCACTGTGATTGTTTGCTTCCCTGTGTCCCATGCTAAGCTGTGAGCTTCCTAGTGGTCTCTGAGCTATCTAACTGACCATTGAGTCTCTAGCTCATTATCTGGTATGTGGTCAATATTCATACATATGGATTATTAGCTACACAAAGGTAACTTTCTTATTATATTAGTGCTAAGATATGGAACTGACATATACTGCTGGTCCATGAAATGATACGGCACCAGGTATGTACTCTTAACTATAGAGTGTTGTTCGAATTTCAATTGGGGCCAATGGATAAAATGTGGGAGGTTTATTATAGCAATCCAGATATCCAGCTTCTCTTGAAAAACCCACATTTTTATATTGTACCATGAAGAGCTGGGATTAATTCCCACTCTACCTGCTCCTTTAGATTGCACATGCTTTCTACTTTTCACTATAATCTCTACTGTTCCTATTGTAGAGTGTGTGTATATGTGGGTGTGTGTTTGTGTGTTGCTTGTGCTTGCATAGATGTGGGGTGAAAAAAGAAAACAATTCTTTAAATTCTATGTCAATCCCCTGACATTTTGTCTTACAAGTTTATAGGACCCTGAATCCAACACTGGAAGTAATAATGGTCTTTTTTTTTCTATAGTGACAGAATGCTAACAAGGATTTTGTGTCCACTTTGGGTCTTTTTTTTTTTTTTTTCATTTTCACAGTAGTGTTCTTATATTTCTCAAATTAATTAGATAATTCCCAGCTGCTTTCCTACTATGATGTGTATCCCTGTGCAGAGTAAAAAATATATGTCTATATCTATCTGGTTTAGGTTGTTTCCCTCCCTTATGATTATTGAACTAACATTTTTCATTTGGCTTGGTTTTGTCACATGAGATTGGGATACTTGACAACATACAATTCAATTTCATTTACAGTTTACCAATCTAAATATATTCATGTTTTGTTTCAGCTATCCTTAAAAAGGAGAGGAAGCAAAGACTTGCCAAAATCTGAGAAAAAGGCTCAACAGACCCCCACAGAGGTATGTGAAAATAGAATTTCAAGTAGTACATCATGCACCTCTAAATGTATATAATAATGAACTGCACCTATAAGTAGACTTACTAGCCAGATATCCTAACATCAAAGTTAAATTATTCATATCAATTATGTAGCTTAGATACAGGCAATTCAAAGCAGTCCATATCTTTGCTTATGAAGCTAGCACTAATGTTTCTATTATAACTGCTTTTACATTGTAAGCATGAAACAAAATGTCATTAGCATTTTAGAAGTTACTATATTTGAGAACTGTACCTATGGTACTAATCTTACTCATTTATAATTAATGAGATGAACAGAATGGCTGTTCCTATAGTATCAGGGACGAGTAAAGAAATGAATGTTGGAGAAAAGGATGATGGAGGGAAGAGAGACTCAATTCAGAGAGTCCTGCAGTAAGGTGATTCTCAGAATGAGAAAGCAAAAGAAGGGAAACAAATGAAATAAATCTCAAAAGAGAGCATTCAACATGGACTTGTTAAGAACCTTAGAAATCCAGCCACAGGAAAGACTAGCTCTGCTTTCAGGGTGAATAGGTGTTAATGGGTAAAATAGGAGATTTTAAGCAGGAGAAGAAATACTTGGAGTTGGGGTGTCAGAAGAAAAAAAGAAATATTTGTAGACAAAAGTGACATTTGCTCTTTAAAAAGTGACTGCATAATGACTTATATGTGTATGTTGGAATCAGTGGTGTATTTTTAAAAATTCTATAAGGTATAGAATTCTCATGAGATAATAACTTTAAAGCAATATTTAAATATTCTAAATTAGAAAAAATGATTTTAATCATTATTTTACAGTATAACATAATACATTTTATTGTCCCTTTTCTTCTCTGTTCTTGGTTATTTTTCTCCTGGTATTTGCAAAGAATATTTATAGACCTCAGCATTTTCTAGAATTCCAGAGAGTCCCATACCAAGATCATTAGTCCTATTTTGTACCTTTCTCTCCATTCCCTTAACAAGTTTGGATATGCTCTTTCACTGCAGCTTCCCCACATTTGTCTTTGCCATAATTTTAGCCACCTCACTAAATATTTTGCTGAGAATAATTTCCCATGCTGCCATCAATTCTTTTCCCCACCTTATTTAGGGAGAAGATGCCATATGCTCCTTGTTCTAAAATTTTAAGTCAGCTTCAATCATCGGGTTATTTTTAAAAATTCATGTTTGTCCTATTGTCATGCTTTTCATGTCCAAGTTTATTTATTCTTTTCAACAATATTCTCTACTCCAGAAACTCTGAGTTGTTTGCTCCTAGCTCTGCAGACCTTTCCCCCACTCCATGTGCATAAGCTCTCCTTTCTGCAAAAGATATCCACAGCTTTCCACCATTTTGTCAGTGGGATCTGGGACTTTACAGCAAGCAAAATACATTGCAATCCACCAGTTTTTATTTCAAGGACACAAATGTCCTAGGAAATTTATATGGTGTTGTATACTGTGAATTCCCTGCTATCATTTTCAATTCTTCGATTTTCAAAGCTTATTACCTGATTTTTTTCTCCCAAAAACCCACCTAGGAGAATGATTGGAAGTATTTTGGGTAGATCTCAATTACAGAACAGTTCATTATTCTGTTGCTCAGTCAAGGTTAAATACCATTGATCCACATACTTGTATTACTGCAAGCTTTCTGTTCTGTTGTAATTCTTACCTAAGTATTCATCTCCTCTCCTTCACCAGAAGATTTTATAGGCAGGGGCCATCTTATTCAGCATTGACTCCTCAGTGTCTAGCTTTCTGCAACTCCGTACAAGTAGATCATGCACCATTTAATACTCCCATGTCCTCTGAGCAAATTGCCAACATGCTATTGATGCTGACCTATGGAAATAGCAGTTTCACACTGTTCAACCCACTATAAGTTTATAGCTTTCTATTTCACATCGTCAATTTGCTTCAAGTTCTTTACTGTATTCTTTACATGTTGCCCCAACAGGCCAGTAAGCTACATTTGCTAAGAAATGACATTGCCTAGCAACAAAGAATAGTAGTTTTAATGCCAGGTGGCTTAGGTGGAAATCTCCGCCATATGGCAGCCATAGAACCATACTAAGTCATCCTTTCTAGGCTTCTTTTCCTTGCCTATAAAGTGGGAATGTAACAGAAAAAAGTACAGATTGATTACATTATTAGAGGTCAGTTTAACTCCTCGTGGTGGCTATTGAAATCAAAGGCAGCCTCAGCTCACTTCTTTTGATTCTTATCATGTCATTTGTTCCCCCTCCTCATGTCATTTGTATGTTCTTAAAAGTATTTAATAGACACAAACATAAGAGGCAATTTGCTTCCTATCTCAGAATATTTTATTTTTCCTAACCTATCATTCACTGAGGAAAACGACAGCAAATGTTTACAACTCAGTTACAACGGACCATGAACTTTCCATACTATCTCTGCTTTAATGTTTTTGACATTTGCGATGGTTTTTCCATGCTCACTTCCAAATGCAGATTACAATGGTTAGGTTACATAATAAGGATGTAAAGCACATTGGCATACAGGGTTGTTAAACTTTTGACATTACCAAAACTATCACACTTTTTAGGTTGGAAATATTTTTATTTAAATATATAAAATAAGTATCATACCCATCACAGTGACTTGGTTGCAGGCAGTATATGTCCAAGTCTTAAGAAAATTGCTGTGTCTTCATTCCTTTGGGCAGGAGTGCTTACATACACATAAATATGGTAACTTTTCATTTTATATTTGCTCAACATAGCCCAGTGAAGTGTTATCCTGCACCAGTCTGTGATTTGTATCACACCCACGGCTGTTTCAGTTAGATTTAAACTGCAGTATTATGCCAACTTTTTTTTTTTTGCATCAGCAAATAAAGGCCTTGTCTTGCAATCTAGGACTGCCATCATGCCTGTAGCCCAGCCTAGTTTCCTAATCTCACCTACTCTTACTTTCCAACAAAACCTAGCTCAGGTAAAAGCATATTGTTGGTCATCTTTCTATTCAAACATTGTTTGTTTTTTTAAGAAAGATTTTATTTGTGTGTAGAAGAGCTGAGACATAGACCAGAGGTACAGGGAAGTGAGAGGACTCATCAGAGACAGAGTGGGGAACAGAGCAGGCACTGACTGAAATACACGGCTGAGAGGAGCAGTGGGTGAGACGGGGGAAGCGTGCCCTGTGGGTTTGCTCCCCAGCGAGAATCAAACTTAGGCATTAGAGGGGATTGCGCTGAGACTTAACCCCCAGGCCACCAGGGAGAGCCCTAGGCCATATATACTGAGCATCTGGCAAGAAGCTCATTCTTCTCACCTTCACTGGCAGTGTTGACTACATTTTTACATGAACACAGCTAATACAGTATTAGCTAGTACTACAATAATACAGTATTGGGGAAAGAAGGTAGTTCTAGTCCCATTTTTTTTTTAATTTTGTTAGTTGGCTTATTTAAGATGAATGTATAGTTATTAGAAATTGCTAGGATAGTTGTCACAGATTTTGTGCCTTTTTATATCCCCATTGGTTGTTCTACATACTTGCTAACATCTGGCAATACAGGTCTTTTTGCAATTATCTATTCTGGCAGATGTGTAATAATATCCCACTGAAACTTTTAATTTAAATCTCCCTGGTGACTAATGAGGCTGAACAGTTTTTCCAATGTATTTTGAATATTTGTCCATTTCTATATCACCTTTCTTAAAGTGTTTCTTGAACACTTGCATTTTTAATTTTTTACTATTGAGTTGTAGGAGCTCTATATATATTCTTTATGCATTTTTGTGAAATATATGCATTGTGAATATTTTCTCTGTATAGCTTATGTATTCATTTTCTAAAAAGTTCTTTTGATGTGGGAACTGGGAATTTTTTGTTGTTGTAATACAGCTTAGCATTTTTCATTTATAGATTTGCATTCTATGCCCTTTTTAGGAAATGTTGCCAACTCCATTTCTATCATATGTTTTATTCTTCAAACATAATTTTAGCTTAAATACTTAGGCCTGTGAGTCATCTCCAATTAATATCTATCTACATAAATAAATATATATTAATCTTTCTATATAGAGAGAGAAGGTAAAAATTTATTTTTATAGATATAAAGTAGTTCTAGTAATATTCATTAGAAAAAATTTTCTTAAAAGAAAAAAAGTTTCTTATACCATGTTGCTGAAAATCAATTGACAATGAGATTATTTCTAATCTTTTTTTATTTTTGTTACATGGATCAGTTTGCCTATGCTTATCCTATTACCAGTCTATAATAATTCCTATAACTTTCTTTTTTAATTATTTTTTTAATTGAGATAATGTTGCTTTTCAACCTTGTATGTGATTTAGGGGTATAGGTTCACACTTTTCAGATGTATGTTACCACACCACGCCCACCACCAAAGCACCAGTAATCCTTACTATAGTCCACTGGGCTACCACCCTGCTCTGCTCCCATTGACTTCAAGTGCTTGTTTAAAAGAGAATCTTCAGAAATTGTCCTTGGGAAATATGTCCTCAGACATAATGACGTGTATTTATATCAGCTCTCAGAGAAAGAGTTGATTTCCTTTTTTTCCTGTTTCCAATTTTCAATGTAGTTAATGATTAAATTTTAAAGGTTATCCTCAGAATGTGGAAGAATGTCTATAAAGTGTACTCCACCATCCTTTCACCAGCAGAATCAATTTTACTTCTTTTAGACTAATGGGCATAAATTTGCATGGACCATTCCAGTATTAAACTTTTCCTACTTTAAAAACCTTTACAAACAATCCTGCCTTAATGAAAGTTGGAGAGCAGGCATTTTCTTTGTGGTAATCAGAAACCTAAGATGTTCAGTCAGACAGAACTGAATTCAAATTTCATCTTTGTCCTTTGTCACTTCTTAGCTGTGTAACCTGAACATGTTACTGAACATCTTTGAACCAGGCATTTATTACTTACTGAAAACTTTATGTTGAACATTAAAGTCATATGTGTTAAGAATGTTACAGAACTGGGCCTCCCCTGGTGGCGCAGCAGTTGAGAGCTGGGTTGCGAAGCTGCCTGCAGCCTCTGCAGTGCCGGTTCAATCCCCGGCTGTTCCCCGGCCACCGGAGGAGGGTCCCACATGGCACGCAGACCTCTCCTGCCGCCCGCTGCTCCCCTCAGCAGTGTACTTCGTCAGTCTGCCTTTTCTGCTCCCCGCTCTGGCTCTGGTGAATTCTCTCACCCTCCCGCGCTTCTGACTGTACCCAGTGCTTGTATAAATAAATAAAAATAAATCTTTTAAAAAAAAAAGAATGTTACAGAACTGAGAGTGCTCAATAAATAGCAGTGAGTGTGTATTAACCACCTGCTCCTTCTAGGGAATGGGTTTCATATTGATATTCGGAGGAATTCAAGCCATATTTTTTAAAAAGTGGAGGGGGGGGCTCCCTAGTGGTGCAAGGGTTAAGTACAGCACTATGAAGCAATCTGCAGCCTCTGCAGCACAAGATCGATTTCCTGCTGGCCAGGGAGAAACCCACATGGGGCAGCAGACCTCTCCTGACTCACCTGCTGCTCCCCTCAGCAGTGTATTTCGTGAGTCTGCCTGTTCTGTTCCCGGCTCTGTCTCTGGTGAATCCTTTCACCCTCCTGCACATCTGGCTTGTACCCCGGTTCTTGTATAAATAAATAAATCTTTAAAAATAAATAAATAAAAATAAAAGGAACATTGTTGAATGATAGCCAAAGACAGTTTTTAGTATGTAATATTATTCTAAGCTTTAATTTACCTAAATATCTCCCTCTCCCTCCGCCCTTCCCACGTCTCCAGCCTCTCCACTTCTCTCATTAAATCTTCATTACTAGGAAAATGAATTATTTTTGCAGATGTCCTTTTTTTGGATTGTTTTCTTCATTTACATAAATAATGATCTCCTGCCATTTCCCCCTCTTTTCCCCAAATGAGGAGGACAATGAAGATCTGAAATGCCAGCTGCAGTTCGTGAAAGAAGAAGCTGCTTTGATGAGAAAGAAAATGGCTAAGATTGACAAAGAAAAGGACAGATTCGAACACGAGCTACAGAAGTACAGATCCTTTTATGGGGATCTAGACAGCCCTTTGCCCAAAGGGGAAGCCGGGGGGCCTCCCAGCACCAGAGAGGCGGAGCTCAAGCTAAGGCTGAGGCTGGTGGAGGAAGAAGCCAACATCCTGGGCAGGAAAATCGTCGAACTAGAGGTGGAGAACCGAGGTCTGAAGGCAGAACTGGACGATCTGAGGGGCGATGACTTCAACGGGTCCGCCAACCCCCTCATGAGGGAGCAGAGCGAATCCCTGTCGGAACTGCGGCAGCACCTGCAGCTGGTGGAGGACGAGACCGAGCTGCTGCGGAGGAACGTGGCGGACCTGGAGGAGCAGAACAAGCGCATCACTGCGGAGCTGAACAAGTACAAGTACAAGTCGGGCAGCCACGAGAGCGCGCGGCACCATGACAGCGCCAAGACCGAGGCCCTGCAGGAGGAGCTGAAAGCCGCGCGCCTGCAGATCAACGAGCTCAGCGGCAAGGTCATGCAGCTGCAGTACGAGAACCGCGTGCTCATGTCCAACATGCAGCGCTACGACCTGGCCTCGCACCTGGGCATCCGTGGCAGCCCGCGTGACAGCGACGCCGAGAGCGATGCCGGCAAGAAGGAAAGTGATGACGACTCGCGGCCACCGCACCGCAAGCGCGAAGGGCCGATCGGCGGGGAGAGCGACTCCGAGGAGGTGCGCAACATCCGCTGCCTCACGCCCACCCGCTCCTTCTACCCCAGCCCCGGGCCCTGGCCCAAGAGCTTCTCCGACCGGCAGCAGATGAAGGACATCCGCTCGGAGGCCGAGCGCCTGGGCAAGACCATCGACCGGCTCATCGCCGACACGAGCACCATCATCACCGAGGCGCGCATCTATGTTGCCAACGGGGACCTGTTCGGACTCATGGACGAAGAAGACGATGGCAGCCGCATCCGCGAGCACGAGCTGCTCTACCGCATCAACGCGCAGATGAAGGCCTTCCGCAAGGAGCTGCAGACCTTCATCGACCGCCTGGAGGTGCCCAAGTCCGCCGAGGAGCGCGGCGCGGAGGAGCCCATATCCGTGAGTCAGGTACAGTTCTGCCTATTGCGAGCCAAGGCGATGGCGAGGCTGGCCCGGGCCGCAGTGCCCCCCGGGGGCGCGTCTTCCCGCACTGACCTCCATGCCCCATTTTAGGGAACCCCAGTGCAGAGCCTCACGGGACCTGGAAGCCCCACCGCACACCTCTTTCACACTGGCCTTCAGTCCTGATAATTTTGATTTCCAATAATGCAATCACTTGGGAGCTATGTCCCCTCTCTGCATTGTTTCACCACGCTCTACTTTTGGTGTAACGATTAAAGGATTTTTAAGGTGTATTCTTATTGAAGGCCAACATTTTCAATATTACACTGATTCTAATAGATCCGCTGTAAGAGTATCCCGAATAGGAATCTTCAGCTATGGATGTGCTGTTTTAAAGCCAAGATTCAAATTGAGTTTTAAAATATTTCTTTTTAAATCACTAAATGAGCAGGACTGATACATAACTACTGGTAAATATAGTAACCGGAGGCAAGGAGAGATGCTATTGTGTCTGCAGCCCCACTGAAAGGAACAAATGGAAGCTGCTCCTTTACCATGTCCCAGTAACATGATCATTTTTTCTAGAGAAAATCACTGACAACTCTATTGTGGAGATCTCAGGACTGGGGAAAGAGTGTTTTTTCTTAAACTTTAAAAAGCAATACTAATTCAGAGAAATAGTAAATAACTATTCCCGAACAGGGAAAGCCAGCATTTTTCCTTCATCCTAATTTGTAGAGGCACAGCTGATGAATTGGACTGAGCTGCGCTAGCCAGGTATGGTGGCTACTTAAAGACCAATGCATTTTGTCAGCGTTCACCACATGAGAGAGAATTTATAAAACAAAACAGGCCATGCTGCTGCCTCTGGCAAGCCTGGTTTCCTGTATCCATTGGAGACCCAAGGAAGAACAACGGCATGCATGGCTTTTAAGACCCGCAAGACGTTTAAATTTACAATCAGTTTCTACACAGAAGCATGATATTAGATTAACTGCCTGTTAGCCACAGCTATAAAAATTGCAGCCTTATCTCTTATTTACCTTGCATGTTGCTTTGCTTTGCTAAAAAAAAAGTTTTATGATAAAACTGGATTTTAAAATGGTGAAGCTTATTTTTTCAACTTATTATATAAAGTATTTGCTTTTTCGTTTACTTGTTGCAGATTGTTGAAATCTTTGAGCATGTGGTTTTTATTAATATTTTCAGGGGGAGGGAGGAATAGAAATTAAAATGAGAGAAAGCACTCTGCATAATAATAGGCTTCAGGTTTTGTAAATATAAACTTAAGATAGAGTTTTGGTGTTTTTTTAAAACTGAATGAATGCTTGGATTTTTGGATATAAACTTAAGTTTTAAAAATTATTATTAATTACCTCTTTTCTTTGTCTTTGCATTTACTTTCCCAGATGTTCCAGCCTATCATTTTACTTATTCTCATTCTTGTATTATTTTCATCACTTTCTTACACAACGATATTTAAGCTTGTCTTCCTTTTTACACTGTTTTTTGTACTGTAAATCTTTCATCATTTACCATTCATTGTAGTATTTTCAGTTTGTTTATTTTGTTCACCCTTCAAGACAAGAAGTAAAAGAAGTATAATTTCTGTAGTAACTACTGCTATAAAAACACTGAAGACTGCTTATTTATTTAAAAAGACACATCTTATCACTACCAAATAAGAAGCCTAAGCACGAAAATTTTTCAGGTAAGGGAGCGTTGACTTTTATATATATAAAATTTTAATTTTTGCTTCTTTCACATTTTGATTTATATTCTTCTTGATAATTGGCAGAATGACTATCAAAGTTGACTATATCTCTCAATTATTTCTCAGTCAGCAGTTGTCTAACATCGTATTCAAAACTGGACATTCACAAGTTGGTCACATTTCCAAAAATATACAGAATTGTAAAGTACCTTTAAGAGGTTGTCTCAGAGTAGCAAGATAATTTTGATTTCCAATAACTGTCAATGAAAATGATGGTGAATGAATGAAATCACAGAATATTTCATGAAAATAAAATCATGAAAATGAACATGTTGCAATGCTGATGGTATTCTGTCTAAAAAATGTGTTTAGAAGCATGAAAGTAGATTAGGCAGTTGATTAGACTCTTTGAGAAAATAAATATCTCCATTCTGACCAGCTTCTGTTTTTATCAGCCATTTCTGTGTTTACCTATGATACATAGAACTATGTGTTGTTAGTCAAGTTTATTGCCTGGCGGCTTATGCTCTACAATAAATGGCCATACTGAACTGTTTCAAGAACAGGGAATATGTTAGAAATATAACATATGAAATATTTTAGTAGGGAAAAATACCCACTCTCTAGCATTTCCTTAAGAGACGATGCAAGACCAGTAGCATGGTTCCAGTGGAATTTGCTCTCTAGACATAAACTTACTTTAGTAAACTGAGCTAACTCCTTTCCCCTTATGTCTAAAGTGACCTGGATAGATTCCATGTTACAAAAGGCCCAATTCTGTCTATCTCATTGGCTGTTTTCCCAGTAGAAACTCGAATGCTGCCAAGATGCAGAAACATCAGTGCTCCTTGAAGTCTTGTATTTCAATGAAGTCATGTACTTGGAAATACATGCAGATTGGTTGGTTGATGTGAAAATCTGTGGTAAAGAATCCTGCACCTCAGCATAAACAATAATCAGTGGGAAATCTTTGCAATACTATGAATGCTGGTACTGGTGATCGCCTTTTGGATCTCATCCCCACCAGTGTATTCCTTACTCTTTGAGTATTAATTAACAACAATAAAACACAATAGTTGAAAATTCAGCTTAAAACGTTACTCTTAATCTCCATGTTGCTTTTTCTGTTTGGTTTTTATGTCATTTTGTTTTCCATGGTAGGGAGGAAAGACCTGAAGTGAGTAGTGGTTAAGCTATATCTGCAACCTCTTACAAGGTTCTTCTGACTTTTCAGATTAGAGATTCAAAAGACTAGGTAGGGGGCCTCCCTGGGACGCAGGAGGTTAAGACGAAGCCTGTGAAGCTGACTGCAGCCACTGCAGCATGAGGTCGATCCCCAGCCAGGGAGCTGCCCACATGGAGAAGCAGACCTCTCTTGTCTCGCCCACTGCTCCCCTCAGCAGTGTATTTCTGTCCATCTGCCTATTCTGTTCCCCACTCTGTCGCTGGTGAATCCTCACACCCCCCACACCTCTGGCCTGTGCCCCTCTTCTTGTATGCAGGAATAAATAAATCTTAAAAAAAAAAAAGGCTAGATAGAGCTTTATGATGAAAATGAATGAAATAATATGTTATAGGGCCTCCCCGGTGGCGCAGCGGTTGAGCGCTGGGTTGCGAAGCTGCCCGCAGCCTCTGCAGCGCCGGTTCGATCCCCGGCTGCTCCCCGGCCACTGGAGGAGGGTCCCACATGGCGCGCAGACCTCTCCTGCCGCCCGCTGCTCCCCTCAGCAGTGTACTTCGGTCCTTCTGCCTGCTCTGCTCCCCGCTCTGGCTCTGGTGAATTCTCTCACCCTCCCGCGCTTCTGACTGTACCCAGTGCTTGCATAAATAAATAAATAAATCTTAAAAAAAAAGTAATAAAAAAGAAATAATATGTTATATTTCATCATTTTAAAATTTTTTATCTCAAGCAAAGCAACCACTTTATATTTTTCTCACTTATTCCCTTTCCCTTCCTCCCCTTCCCTCCAACCGGTTAACCTCAGAACTCTCACTTCATTAATGATATGCATTTGTTTTTGTATTTTACTTTGTCATATCATTTACTATGTTAATGGCCAGTACTTGTCTTTGTCATCTTAACTTGCTTTACTACATACAATTCCCTTGAACTATCCCATCTTGCCACAAATGTCAACAGTTCATCTTTCTTTATGACTGGATAGTGTTCCATAGTGTGATCATACCACATCTTCTTGATCCAATTGTCTATTAATGGGTAGAAAGAAGCCATTCTAAAAACTAAAATCTGTTTGTTAGATCCTTGATGAGACTCAAAGTCACCATCTCCGAGGAACCATTTTGACAAAGGAACTGAGAGTAAATTTTGAGGGCTGAGGTTATTGTGAAATGTTTATTGCCTTTGGAGCCAGATATACTAGCTAAGCAGTGGTCCTCAATTACCTATGGGACATTGGTAGTAAGTGGAAATATGGGTTGTCAAAATGACTGGGAAGCTTTATTGGCATTTAGAGGGAAGGAATTACAAATAACTGTCTTGCCCAAATTGCTAGTTTTCTCCCTGTCTAGAAATTCAGCATGCAGTGCACTTATTGTGTGACTTTAAGAAAATGACTTCAGAATTTAACTTTTTGTATCACAAGAAAATTGAGGACTAAATGTTAAGAACAGTGGTTCTCAGTCTTAGCTGAATATCAGAATTATTGAGATGTTTATAGAATTGATGCCCTACTCCCAACTAATTAAAGCTGAATGTATGGATTGAGGCATTTATGTTTTTTAAAACTCCCCAAAACTACTGCATTAGATGTGTCTGTTATCTAAAATAAGTATATACAGCTATACCAAGGTTACAATTAACTATGTGATACTAGATTTATAAACTCATCAGCTGTCTATTTTCAAAAGAATTTAAAATTCCAGCCATTCAGTGAATGTCCACATCCTTTCTAGAGCATTTCCACCTTTGTCATACAGCCTTATCCAAAAGACCACTAATGGCAGAGCAGTGCTTTTTCCATACTGATAATAGTGTTAGAAAACTCTCTTCTCATTAATACAGTTCCTTGAAACCAATATAGAGAGAATAGGAGTAATTCTTGACAGAAAGAAAAACCAAGATTAATATTGTGTGTGCAGAGAAATGCACATATCTAGGGATGGAGGCACATGTGCTCACTGAATTACAACTCAACTCAAAATGATAATCACACACACACACACACACACACACGCACACACACATCATGAGTTTCCACTCTGTATCTTCATACAGTTTTCTCTGCCACAAAACTTCCTTGTGTTGATCCAAAATGAGGATATGATATTCCTCCTTGAGTAGTGGCTACCAACTGACTAACCTCTATAACAAGATGGGTAAGAGCATACACAAGAGATATGAGAATGGAGTAAAAACATACAGCACAGATCCTTTGTTTAATGAACATTTCTAAGCAATGTTAGGTATAGAAGAAAGTAAGGTTCATTTCCTACTCTTAGAGCTTTCAATTGGTTGATTTAGCAGGACACATGGGAACAGCTAATTCTAACATGTGCTTTTATTGAAGTGCAAAGAAAGATTTGTGGTTGTAACTTCTTGTTTATTGACTACCTCATACCCTGTTAGATTTTCCCAAGAAAATGCAATAAAACCTCTAGGCGTTCTTGGATGGAGTGATAAATGCAAGAAAGGAGTGAGGTCTGTGCTAAACAAAACACCAACCTCCTTATCAGATCTCATTAGCAGTTACAGTCATCCTGACAACAGGGGTATTAATCTTATTTGCACACTCTGAAGATTTGTAGAAGAATTGCTTTTCTAGAAGAATTTCATGAGAAATTTGAACTCCATCCAGGCCTTCCACATATGGAACCCCAAGATATTGGACAGCAGAAAGTGGCTGAAATAGGATTGACTTGGTGACTGCTTATAGATCCTTTAGGATTTGGGGTCACTCTGGTAGCTCCCCTGGAGTTAGTGAAGCAACCTCACTGTCTAGTCAAACTTCAGGAAAGGCCTTTCCAACTCTGTCTTACCCACCTGAAGAGTCAATTTGGTAGTTGTGCCTGCACATACACATACTCCTCTCCCACAGTGTTGAAAACAATGAGATGTGTGGCCAGTGACAGATAATTCAGACCTGCCTTTTTCTTAAGGGACTGCTTGGAGCCAGCAGTTGGGAGGTGTTCCCAGCAAACTGTCAGTAGACACTAAGTGACCTTTTCCCTTGATTTCTCCTCCCTGGACTTTAGGCTGTTCTGTGACCATCCAGGAATAGGGTACACCTCTGTCTTATACCCAGGACATAGACTTGGAAGGATAAGTTAACAAAGATGATATCCAAAACCTCAGAGAGAGTCTCCAGTATCTCTGCTACTTGCATTATCTTTTGTTATATAAAACTAGTTCTAAAAGGGGAACATTCACGCTTCTTTGTTCATCAAGAGAACTGAGTCCTCCAATTACTGAGACAAGGGACCTCTTATTTGTACCTTTGAAGTCATGCTGTTTAAACATCACATTGAAAATAAATTTGAACAAACAAACCTTATTGTAGAAAATTCCCTTGCATGCACATTCTTGGATGTAGGAAGAAGTGCCTTTGGCAATTTGGCCTAGTTAAAAAAAAAAAAGAATTCAGTTGGCTATTTTTAAGCATAACTGACTCAAACTCATAAAGCAAAGGAAAATCAGTGCTGATCCTGGAATGTGTATTGGCCTGCATTGCCCAACCTTCACTTCATTTTGTGTGGTATTTAATCAGCTGCCAGTGAAGTTTGGAATGTCAGTTTGGTCACTGAGCCTTAACTCCAAATATCTGTGCAGTGTTTGTGGCTATATATTCT